TTCTATTATTATTATTCTAAATTATTAATTATAATTATCAAACTGATAAAATAATTCAAAATTTTTTTGATATAAGAATTATTAAAATTTATATAAAACATGTATTTTTAACAAAATTAAAATCAATAATTTGCAATTAAAATAAAACATAATATATAACATTTCCAATACTTTATTTCTGGAAAAAAAGATGCATTTGTATCGCTTTTTCATCTTAAATGAAACATCATTTATGTAGATATTGTATAATGATATAAACTGATACTTTTCTATTGTATGCTTAAAAATCGATAGAAACATGCATCATACAGTTATCAGTATTGAAAATTTACACAATACATCGATTCAACAAGTCGCGATGAAATTAAAAGATTAAGTAACTATTGTTGTTAACAATTTCGAAAGATCACTTTTTTTTCTTGACAAAATCGATTTTTAAAAATAGAGTTTCGAAAAAACCGTGGAATAATGAGAAAAATTTGATTGTATAAATAAAATAACGTCCAGTTCGATAACACAATTAAGGTTCGATCGCCTTCGATAACCGATCATGATTATAGAATCGTATGTAACAACATATTCCAAGACCGTGGTAAGAATTACATAATAAATCTATTGGTTGAAAAGGAAGACAGTGTGTCTCACGGTAACGACATGGCATAATGTCTTTTTTCCTTCTTCATTGGTGGCAATAGCTAATCGATAACTGGTTGTCGTTTATGAGCAAGGAAAAACGAGTAGTGGCGTCGTGGAAGGACGTCAATAAGTTACAGTTAGTGTTTAACAGTACTCGTTGAATGAAAATCTACAAATAAATGCGTGAACGACGACAACGATATCGAGTCGATGCATAATCGCGTATTGGTAACAGAATCAACATACTATTACGTGCATTGTGGTTGACGGAAGAAACGTAAAATATTTTTTTTTTATCTGTATCGTAAAATTATAAACGCATGATAACGTAATGGAACATTTAATGGTGAGCTAATAACAGAATCGATAAATACTATTGCGCGAGTTGTACAACCCTTGGCAGAAAGTATTCGATCATCCTTTATATCTTTCGATGCTTGTCGTTTGTTTCTACATCAACCGATATCGATGAAATTTTCAACATGTAACTGTCATAAATTTACAAAACAGATAAGAAATCTATAGACGAAGATAAAAAAATTTATAAAAAGCGACCTTTATTATTTTTTTCGTAATTCAAAATTGTAAATTTTTGTTTATATATCATTTTGTAAATTGATCTTCTTAACTTTTCAAAAAAAAAAACTTAAATTGTTTGTTCTAATTTTAAGAAAATTATTTTATTTTAAAAATAATTGAATCTTTTTCTAAAGATTATATTATAGAAAATTAAACAATAACGATTTAATTTTTGAATTAAATGTGTTAATATAATTTTTTTAAATAATTTTTTAATCCAATAAATTATTAAAAGATATTAATTGTTATGTTTGATTTTTATTAAAATTTATATATTTATTAATTATTTTTTATTTTTAAAAAATATATATTTAAATATATTTTTTTTTTCAATTATGTTATATTAAAATTTTTTAGAATTAAAGAAAAAATAATAAAAATTGGAATTTAATATTGAATATATAAAATAATAATATTCGTAAAAAAATATAATCTTTATTTGTTTTTTAATCGTCCTTGAAGACTTGAAATTATTTTACGATTATTCTCAAAATTATAAATGCCAATAATTTTTAATTATAATTGCAAAAGCATAATCGTGTTTCATAGCTCAATGACATAACACAGAAAAAATTGAACTTTCAGATAAATTGGCATAAAGTACATTGTCACGATATTTATCGTATCAGTTTAAGAGGTGCTTTCGCACTTTATCGTATCACAAAATTATCGAAGAAAAACCGCAGGAGTTCGATATGTAGATTATTCCTTATCGATCTCGTTCTAATAATAAATTTGCTACGATTGATTCGGTCTTAGAATCAGTTGACCTTTCACATTTAAAAGAGAAAAATCATTTTTTGAGTGTATAAATATTTACACATCCAAGATAAATGATTCTTTTAATCTTCTGAAAATTTAAATCTATTAATAATCATCTCTTTATAACTACGAATCAATTTCCTTATTACTCGCAATTCATTAACATTATTTCATTATTATAATCCAATAAACAATCGAGACAATGATAATTACTTAAATAAATCTTATTGCATATGTATTTAAAAAAATCTTTTCTTTTATCAGTATTTCTAATAACGCAAAAATAAATGTGCAATTCACTTTGATGCAATTCATTTCAAACAAAAAAAGATGATCTTATATCGAACAATAAATTCCAGATACACATATACATTGGAAAACACTTAATTGATAATTAATGATAGAATGAAGAACGAAATATAGAGAGTATAATAATCATAAATATTGACGCAACTTGATGACTTTTCTTATTGTTACCTCCCTTCTTTTTTATTGCAATTTTGATCGTGAATTGCTATCGCGCGAATAAAACTCAACAAATAAATTTTGTATTGTGAAATTTTTACCGAATCGCGTACACAATGACCAATGATGGTAATTGGCAGAATCATCTAAGTGATATTGCCTTATACACCTCATAATCAGTTGCGCGTTACCAGACTGCCCGGCAGCACCACCCTGTTGTGCTATTATTACACGCAGAATCAATCGAAAGTCTCTATATATTTGCATCACGCGTATCTCGTTCGTATGCATACACGTATACCAATGCAACTTACAGACGGTGGTTAATAGACGGGCTTTTGAGCTTGCAATTCCACATAATGTAATTTGTTTGATCACCCACTAGAGTATACAGGCGACGCACCTCAATTGAAACTCATGATCGAAGAACGCCCAGACTGACGCTAGTTGTTCTAAAAAAGAAGAGTCCTTGTTCGATATTCATTTTTACTATTTTCTCTTTTTCTTTTTTTTCCGTTTTTTATTTTTTTTTTCTTTGTATGATAATCTGTTCAAAATGATATTTAAAAAAGATACTTAAAAATTTGATTGATAAACTTTGCTATTTATAAATTTTTTTCAACAATAGTAGAAGAAGCTATTTTGATCCCATCCTGCATAATAATTAGAAAAAAATATATTCACGATAAATTCTCGAAAAATATAGCATTATTTAAATTACAATCTAACATATAAATATATTAAAATAAATAAATCTAAATAAATAAAAAATAAAATATAATTTATATAATTTGTTTCTTATTTATGTAATTAATTTATATAAATAAATATATATATAAAAAGAAAATATTTATTATTTTCTAATTTTCTATTTTCAATTGATTTCTATATATATATATAGAAATATATATATATATATATTATCAGAATATTTTTTTCCATAATATTTAAAATATTTAAATTTACTACAAAATTCAAAAATTTAATAAATTTCATATAAAAAAGCAATCTGTATGCATGTATGATAATAAATTGAGTTCAAATAAATTTAAAATCAGATTATGATATCAAACTAAATGTTCGCATTAGAATTAAATAATATCCGAAAAAGAATAGAAGATAACTTTGTCAAACGAAAGTTCAATCTCCTGTCTAGTTTGGTAATGATAAAACCGTCATCGAATCTAACCAATCGTCGAGTGCGTGTGAACGCAACCGGATACGCTCTCGAAAATATTTCATTCAACGTTCAGTTCTGGTGTCGCCATGTGCCAAGCATTGACCGTGGACGACGTCTAGCGTGTGTCTATAGACCTATTCGTCGTCTATTAAAAGAGTAGTAGGTTGCAGTCTCGCGATTACATATACATACCTGTAACCAGCATATATAGTAATACATGTACGATAGCACTGTCACGAGCGTAGCCCGACGACGACAACGACGTCGACGAGTTGCATGCGCGGGCGTCTCGACGCGTTTCTCAGTGACCCTCATAAAGCGTCGATTCAACGGTAGACGCGGTTAGCAACAGATTTGATCAAGATCGAATTTACCGACGAATTAAAAAGCCACCTTATCCACTGTTTGTTAAAACGGTTGGAATTTGCGTGGCGCTTCGCGCAACATGATTCCGTCTCCGTCATAATAAAATACAACGCGGCCGGAAGTGAAGTCTGCCACGTAAGAAGTGGTTAACATTTTCATCGGTTACAACGACGTGAGACCATTACGAATCGAATTTCAGAATTATTTCATAACTAATGGCGACTTGCCCAATGTCTCATTGATTGGCAACGATGATAAAGAATACATGGAAACAACATTTGAATTTCTAGACCTTTTTGGCATGCATCACCATTCTGCTATCCTTCCTCCGTTTTTGCTTTTTCTCTTATATGCGAACTAACTATGCGAACTAATATTAATAACCTTTGTTTCGTTTGTAGTACGTTATTTATAGAAAAATTCAATAATCGCGTGGCAAGAACGTGTACTTTAATGCGAAACCGGCTACTGAGATTTAATTCCCCTTCGCTGCGTGAATTTAATTGTCACGAAAAAAAAAGATGACTGAGATGCATTATCTAAAATATAAAGAAGGTTTAAAAAGGACATGCGGTCTTATGTAGGTAAGAGCAAAAAACCGCACATAGCAACAACCATTCGTCTCGAATATACGAAAAATTTTTATATCAAATAATGTATTTCACAGATAATTTTTTTTATTCTTCTGATTTTTTTAATATGTTCAATAATTTTTAAAACAAAATCTATAAAAAAGATTAACATACGGACGATGAATGATAACAATTAAATCGATGAATCATAAATGTATCACAGAGAAAAAGAAAAGAAAAAAATATTCTTACTTCATCGATTTAATAAAAAAAATATAGCATGAAGAGAAGCAACATCCTACTTTAGATTATGTGAGAATGATTATATATGATGCAACGTTTCTAGCGGAAATTTTATCAAAAAGATTTATAGATGAATTTATAAAAATACTAAAGATATTTTTTGCCGCGCAACCTTAACCTCTCGCGCACACAAATTACACAGCTTAGTTCGCTGCATCAGTGACCTGAGCAGTGAAAGTTCTTTTGTTTACTTGAAAATCACTATTTCATACAATTACATGAGTTTCTTTCATATTTCGAAATCATATTTCGTATAAAGACAAACGTGTGTAGTATAAGGTGAGTATATGTACCATCAAATGATCAATTAGAACCTAACCTCTTTAATTAACGCATATATATTCAAAAAATCTTTCCTTTGAAAAATGTATAATGAATTTATTATTACTGGCAACAGAATAAAATATGCAAAGTAAATTGAATGATACTAAAGACAATAAAAGCATGGTGAAGCCATTACGAGACTAAGCCAGTTATAATACATAGTTACAACGAGTGCAATACTGCAAAGATCTGGATCATATTTAACTGTAAAAAGATGAAATTTTACATATTTTTGAATTTTAATTTTGATTTCGCATGAATTTCTATTATATAATTCCAAATACTGCATAATATAAAAAGAATTATTTAATATAACGTTAACATTTCATTATAAAAAAATTAATACGACCAAAATAATATCAATATCATAAATGCTAAAAAATATTATATATATTAAAATAATAATCTGGAAATTATACATAATCGATAAATATGTTGTAACATGTAAAGATGATACATCGAATGAATTTGTTATACGATCGATTATAACTTTCACGAGTGCGAGTTCTTCTTGTTCACTACTTTACGCTGCACTTATATACGCGTCAAATCACGTCTAAACATTGCGTTAAGATAAGCACACGTATCTTTGATTCATATACAATATTGTTTGTGTCACGAATGCGTTCGATCCCGTGGAGCTCACGTGCCGTAAATTATTCGGTGAGAATAGCAGAGCAGCCGTGTTGCAACGCATGCGCATGCTCGCACTCAAAGCAGAAATTAAACTGTGGATCGCTGCGATCGAAATAACTCGCGACGGAGAACAGGTTTCCACGGATTCCTACGATAGAATTTGCACCGTAGATAAATCTATGGATTCACGATATTAAAACAAAAATTTTTTTATTATTGATTGTATTCTCTTTTAAATTTTGGATTCTAACGTGTTTGTTATATAATTAGTTCATTTTAACATAAAATATCTATGTATCTATGTATCGGCATAAAATTTTTGCAAAGAATTTAAATAAATTATTGTTTTTCAAAAAATTATATATATTCTATTATTACATTTTTATAAAATAACATTTTCTGCTTAATTTTTAATATAATTTAATAATTAGCAGCATATTGCATATACTACGAAATAGAATCGACACTAATCAAAAATTAGATTATACAATGTCTAAAAAACTCCACGGTCATCTACCTCTTTCTATCTCAGTCTATCTTGAACATCTATTTTCAGGTCACATCGTGCGTATACTACTATTTCGTATTTCATTCGCATATATTACGCGTAGATATACCTATAGGCTTACGTTGGCGCACAGTTTCACGTCAGCCGAGTGGAACGAAACTTAATTGCATTTTCACCCAAGTTGCTGACTACGAACAGATTTAATTCCTAACCTCACTTTTTATTCTTTTTATTTGTTCTTCTCACCGAGAATGATGAAACTCAGACAGAGCGTCATGATAAGCATTCTCTTTTTAATCTATCTTTCTCTTTCACTCTCATATTTTGTGACAGTGTCGGCCCTGAATCGGTCTTTACCTGCGGCCTCCGTAGTGTCCGTGGCAACGAGCTCACGCGAGTCCGAACAAAGGCGAAGAGGCGGCTGCGTGTTGATAGTAAGGGTAAGGAAGAAGGGGAGGAAGAAGAGGAGAAGTAGGAGGCGATAACAGCCGATATACTCTTCGTTCCGTGTACAGACGGCGTTGCTATCGCGGAACTCTCCTCGCTTGGAAACCACTATCGTAGCACCAACGCACCTTCTTCCATGTTGCATGCATGCAAATTCAACGCCAAGTACCACTAGCATTGACGTTCACTTACGACAAATGCAACACAACACGCCATATCCAAGCACAAGAAAAAGATGTCACCGGTAACCGTGCACTCGCATCGGGTTTTCACGTATCTTACGGCACAACCTCCGGTCCAGGACTGATGCACCACAGCTACAACGCGCACGGACCCTAGTCACGGTTACCACAAGAAAGAGAAAGAGAGAATCGTGACGCGCGATGCTCGGTCAGGCGCCATTTACAGAAACGCACGCATCGCTACTAGTTCTCTCTAACTCTATGTCTATCTCACTCTTACTACTTTCATTTCCCCCACTTATCTACTCGCAACGTATCTCCCTCTCTTTACTCTAGTTCCATCCTTTTTTATCTTATTCTTTCTTCCCCCCCTCTGACGTATCTATCCGACCTATCCCAATTACAGCGAACGTCCTTGAGGTGACTAACACCTTGTCGTCCACTGCTTGTGGGAACGAAGAGGGATGCATGAAAGCGCTGTTGAAGAGGTGGAAAAGATGGTGATAGTAGTGGAAATGATGGAGGTGGTGAAGAAGAAAAAGGAGGAGGTGAGTGGAACCACCAAACCCTCGTTGTTGAGAACACGCGTGACGAGAAACTATGCTTTGATGTTAGTTGGAGAACAAAGACAGAAAGAAAAGAGCGGCGAATGCCGCATGTAACGCTTAGTCTTTCTTGAAGCTGTAAGTAAAAGGAGAGGGAGTAGGATGAACCATGCTTCTTAAGTGTCCGTACGTGAGAACGAGGAGGTTATTCACTGTTCTACGGAAATGTTCGAGCATGATGATGTTGCCACAGTAATGTGCCTTTTATAATCTCTGATAATTATATGAATTCATTCGTAATATTTATGATATTAATATAAATTATCAATAAGGCAATAAATACTACAGTTTTTTTAATTATTTATTTTATATACTTTTAATGATTATGATTTACGCTTAAATAACATTGAATTATTTAATAATTGATTTTTATTAAAAATACCTTTCCCTTTTTCTGAGAATTATTAGTTAAACTTGTAATGCGCACCCCTAAATAATAATTGTAGCATTGTTATATATATATTTTTTTTTGTTTAAATACGAAACAAGCGAATGTATTAATAAAATTTCATTTGTCAAGCGATACATTACCATATTTACATTGTATCTACATCATCTAACATTTTATTATGTTATATTCGTTTAATAATGTGATTAAGATAGTTTGTGGAAGGACTGTGCAGTAATAATACACGCGAAAATAGCGATAATAATGTATGCCTATCATTACAACATACTTTGCTTCTACGATTTCCGCCGTATCTTATCCCGCAATTGTATTTTACTCAAATGAGATAAATGCGATACATTACTGTAATGCCGATTGATTATTATTACAAGAGTCGTAGTGTTCGGAATCGACTATTTATTGCTCCTAGGAATTTATGTTTCTCTGGAGATTCTTAATACTGACTTTTCTCCGAAAAATCACAGAATTTAATTTCATTCTTTTGTCTTTTTTTTTTTTTTCATTTGTTTAAATATTCATAAACTTGATTCATGTAATTGTTCCTCGAAAAACATTTGAATTAATTTCCAGTACTACTGGATTATCGAATGACAATCATATATTTTGAATAAATTTTTTAGATTATATTATACGATTTTACTATTTCTTTTTTGTCTTCCAAACAAGCGACGCACGAACCTCCGGACGTTTCATCGAATAAGCGCAAATTCACACACATATTAATTCTACTTTCGAAGAAATATTTTTTTTTTTTCTTTTCATTTTATACGAGGTACGCACAACAACATTCGAGCAACGTGCATGAGTCAGCGACGCGCGCTCAACCGAATACGCACGTTAAAAAAAAAGAAAGAAAAAAACAGAGGATTCTCACACGTGGAAAAAGCATGACCTATAACGCACGTCGCTGTTACAATGAACAAGTGGTATCGTAGATTACAATATGGTACTTGCTCAGTCTACCCGTTTGTGAGAACAGACAAAGAGGAGATAAGATTGCCGCTTTATGCTTAAACTAATTGCGCGCTGACAATATTTAAAATTACCGAGATATAAGCGAGAGTCGCGTTTTGCTTTTCTTTTTCTCGCAGCATTTCAATCGAATACTGGCTGTTTTAAAGACCAGCAGATTTCCAGAAAAAAATCTATCTTCGCGATTAATGAGAATTCTAAAGCAAAACCAGAATTCTCTCTCGCTTCAATTTTCATTCTAGATATAACACAGTAATAGTAGGGTACTTTTACATAGCACGGAACATGTTTATTATATTTCCACTTGTGTTTTTATTCTGTTAATTTCTCATATAATACTAACAAAACATTTAATTACAAAACATGGTACGGGTGTGTATTGTATTTTCTTTTTGTATGTATTATGTATGTGTCATATGTAAGTATGTGTATATATGTATCGTGTGATGAAAGCATTAATTATGCGTCTCTATGTGGTATGCATATCATCTGGTTAATGTAAATATTACGATTATTTCATAAGTTCTCTACAAGTAGATGGATTTTATAACGACAATTTACACGCTGAACGCGTGCAGTAAATACGTCCCATTTGCCCGCAGCGTCTCTTCGTTTAATTTTACATTCATCACGACTTCGTCTTGTATGGGCCTACGACCAATTCTTTTCTATAATCTATTCCGATGAATATGCAAACGCAAAAGAGATAGAAACGCTACTATAGTATGCGATACAATAATATATAATCGTATCTCAATATTAATCAATATTATAAATAGTTTTTAATAATTATTTGTCCAAACACTGAATATTTTACAACAGCCATCGATCTCAACTATTCATAATTCTATTAAACAGTTTGCAACTTTTACAGTTTCAATTTTTTTTTTTTTTTAATATTATGCGTAGCGTGTCTGATCCAATATCATATCAATAATAGGGATATATCATAAATTTTGTAATTTGCTAAAAAATATTCTCTAAAAAATATGTTGACCTAAAGATTATTATGACTGATAATCACAGACAATTTTTTTCAATTTTCCTTTCATTCCTTTTTCTTTCTTTCTTTCCTTTTTTTTTTTAATTTTTAAATTTTTCAATAGTATTTTTTTTATCTTTCTTTTGCTGCCTCTTCTTCATCATCTTCGTATTCTTCTTTTTCTTTTAAACAAGTACAATATTCAAAATTCTACAATTCGTTTAAACGTTAGAATAATACTATTTTTTTTTTTTATTTATACATGATTTAAGAAGCGTTTTACATTTCAATCTTTTTTTCTTTTAATTACTTAATTTTACGAATAAAACGAAGAACCCAAAGACTCGAAGAGATGATTCTCGTTTATAAGAGGATGCAACGCTGCGATGTTTTTGAAATTGTCGTAAAAAGTATTAACGGGCACCGTACAGTTCCATGAATAACTTAACCACTCGTTTCATTATCACACCAAACTAGTAAATATCCAACACTTTCATTACCTAAAGCAAATTTATCTCGAGGTAAAGTATACATATACATATTCAAGTTCGAAGATTATACATATATATTTATGTATATATATATATATATATATTTGTTTCTTTTTCTCTAACGTCAAAAATTTTTGCTCTTTTTCACACGAATCACTTTTTAAAGGTGCTGACGGGTGTATTTTAAACAAACAGTGCACAATATGAGTGGTAGTGTATTATGCTATCTTTTCATGTAGATTATAATTAATTGATAATACTAATAATAATCATAATAATGAAGGCTGGATGCGTAATACTAAGGATCTTGTACACATTTCGTGAATTAGGGAATCATTTAAAAAGATACAGAGTATGTTTCAGAAAAGCGCTCGACAAACTCTGAATATTTTTTTTATCAGAGAAGTATACATAGAACATAATTTTCCGTATCATACGGACGCTAAAATCTATATTTTTTGTTTTTCTTTCTTTTAGAGCATAAAATATTTTATATATGGAGATTTTATAAATAAAAAAATAATTAAAAAACAGTGTTCTTAATTTATCTACTGACACGTGTAAATATATACCCATTATAAATTATTGTTACAATCACCACAATTATTATAATTTGTGAATGGGAATATGAAGTATAGTAAAATACATCGCATATATTTCATAATCCCAAATAGTTCGTGATGATATTATGTAACAATTACAAGAATGCATTTTTTTTTTTAAAGAGAAAAGGATGTTCTCTTCCCTCCCTCCATAAAAAAAGTTGTCATTCGTATCTTTTCAACAATATTAGACCATCATGTGCACCATGTTCTCTAAATCATGTTTAATGTAATTAGTACATCTCGTTAACCCTAAAACCGTCATCCATAAGTAATAAATATCAATAAAATATCTAACATTGCTATTATATTTTCAAGTAAATTACTTTTCTTATGTCATATTACTTTTTTTTACAGATTAAAATTAATTAATTAATTATTATATTAACAATATTCATTTTCCAATAATAGTCACTAATTATTGGTAATCATAATATTAAAAAAAGAGAGAAAAAAAAAAAAAAAAGATTCAAAATACCTAAAAAATGGCAATTTCTCGTGACCAGAACAAGTTTCTATTTCTTTCCCTTGTTTTATAACTTTTTACAAATCAGCATACGCATTTTGTACCAAACCAGGCCGATTAAAATGTTGCACGAACGACAAATATTTACGTGCTCAAATAATGTTCCTGCCATCATTTACTTCTTTATATTATTTCGTTAAATAAATTCGCGATCAATATTCATCGTATAACGCATTTCTTATTATTATCAAACTCTTTCGCTGCCACCTACTATTTCTTACTCTAGGCCATTTTTTCGTGTAAAGTGCACTTAACGGTGTCCATGGAGCACCAAATTTAAGGGACAACCACCTCGGCAGAAATTGATTAACCGCACTAAAATACTTTATCATAGCTTAATGGATGCATAGACACAATTAGTTTTTTTTTTTTTTCAGTTTGAATATAAGTCATCGGGGTATATCTAAATCTATCACCGGGTTTAAAGCGTAGGTACATTAAAGGTAAGGCAAAACTGCATTTCACAGAAAGGTGCTTTTTACGGTATACAGTGATGTATCCGTAAAAATCTGAAATATATTCCTATAAAGAACATTTATAACTTTTCCCAGTGTAGGAAAATATCACAAACATTTCCTAGAAATATTAATATTCTAGAAAAGTTTACTTGAAACAATGATCTAATTATCTTTTTACATTCTGTTAACATAATTGATCACGTGATTATATATGCCTCTTACGAATCGTAGAAAAATTTCAGACAGAAATCACATAAAAATTATGATTAATCTCTTATACATGAGCAGTATGCTATTAAGTTTTTGTAAAATAAAAGGTTTTTTTTTTTTTCTAGCGATTCATATTATTTAAATACAAAAATAAAGTAATAAGATTAATATTGTAATATTGGCAAGGCGGAAGCACAAACGTATAGGTGCATCGTTTAAAAATCTATAAAAACATATCAAAATAATATTGCGCGTACATAATCCTTCATTTAAAATAAACGAACAGGCTTCAATTTCTGTGGGAAACAAATCTTTGTTCCCCATTTGTTTCATTTTTATCTTTTTTTTTTATCTTTTTTTTTATCACTACTATAAGACTTAAAATATCATCAATGTCTGCCAAAGTAGGTACACCTTCAGACAGTATCCCACGCTAGGAAACTGTTCCTTTTTGCCATTCTCTTCCCCCCCTCCCCCTCTCTCTCATTTTTTCGCGCGCGCGCGTTCTTTCTTTACTTCTTAACATCTATGTTACTAACTTAAGTTAAATTGGTAGCTGTACTTACATCAAGACAGTATCTAATCTAACAATTACATATTTTACAAGAACATTTGAAATCTGGCCCTACATCAGACATGAAATGTCACAAAGTTAGTCGTACACTGTACACTAAATTCTAAATTTACATAAAATATTAAAAAATATTTAATTGTATGTCATTACATATAAAATCGAAATTTACAATAAAATTGTGTGTTTTATATCTTACAAATTTTTTTTCTGAACATGAATATTTGGTATTTATCACGTAGTAAACGTGTTTCTATATTCAATAGTTTCTATATTCAATATTCATATATTGACAAAAAATGTAAATGACAGTCATGGAAAGTCATTAATTTTCTTTTATAAATACATATTATTTTTGTGCTGTATTTATATTTTATTATTACTCAATTTCATACTTGGTCCAATTATGCATTAAAATTCTTAAATATATAACTCAAAATAATTTATGTAAAAGAGAACTTTATAAATGCTTTTAGCTTATGAATAATATATAAATATAAACTAAAAACATTTTCGATTTAGTGTAAAGTGACGATAACTCGTACACTTAAGCCTCAATAGTAGATAATAAGTAGAGTCTAGAAGACGTGCATAAAAGCACAGGCGTGGATAACACTTTCATGAGCCTTAACGTGAGCGTGATGAAGCACGCGAGACTCGTTGGGTACGAAAGCAGGACATGTTCAATCATTTATTGCTATAAGTATACCCCTTAAATCAACTACGAAGTGTAGCTGTTTAAAGTAACATTGTCATAACGCGATGTTTCATGTACTATATCTGGCCTTCTAATATTTTAAATGTATATCTATTTCCTTTATAGTAATAAAAAGCTGCAATCTCTGAAAATAGTTTGATGATTAAATGAATAACGTTCAATAAAATGAATCCTATTCCAAAGCGCACATAATTATAGCACATTATTTTTTTGCTGTGCCGGTTGGCTGCTTACGATAGCTGTATATGCAGTCTCAATTGAGGTATTTACGACATCTGCGGGAACCGCAGGTACATGGAATCTTGATATCCTCGAAAGGAAATTTGTAGTCATACGTTAACTCTTCTCCTTGATTAATGCGACGGAGAGCGAAAATTAAAATGTGTTTCTTACCTAAGATGTCCACTACACGCGAGTAACAATTTGGCTGAAATATGATTTGTAAATTATAAATTAATTCAATAAAATTTTAAGTATGGATTATTATAAATAAATATAAAAAATACTTTGCTTTTTTACAAAATATATGTAATTCATTAAATATGTAGATACCTCGCATGAATGATTAATGAATCTAGCTGCATTTCCTTTCATTGTAGCATCAACGACTAAGTGGTCATCGATTTTAAACATGTAACATCCTATATTTTTACTATCATAATATTTCTCTCGTTTATCAGTTAACGAAGCTCGAATTACCTATAAAGATTTATAAAATATTGTTCAAGAAAATTACACACAATATATTAATAACTAATAAAAGAGATTATATAAATAACAACACGTTTCTACACACCTCGCCGGCATACTCAATAACCATCTCTCCAGCTTCAATATCTCTCAAGCAAAATAAACCCCTACCATGTATATGAGAATGATACACTCCAACTGATTCTTTCGATGTTTCTTTAAGTATTCTAAAGCGCATTGCCATTGGTAAATTTGTGCTTGCCACTCGCCTACAATAATTTAAAAAAAATATAATGAAATTAAAACAAAAGATGAAAATATTGTATCAACAATCTTTAAATAATATTATTAATATATGTTATTTATAACTTAATTTAAATTTAGAAAGCATATCTTAAACATTCATTGTAACATCATTAAGCTAGACTATAAGTTCACTTATTTTTTTAGCTAAAAAGATACAAAAAAAAATAAAAACTTGAAATTTATTTTAATCTATAACGTATTAACATCATTATTTTATATATCATCTTTTTGAATTTTATAAATTAACTATTTAACAACAACTTATGAAATATTATTAATATAAATTTATGAATTAATCTAATAATAAACGCTTAATATATAAAGTTTTCTTAATAGTTATATTCATCTAAAATAATTATAAAATTTATATTTGTTTTTACCTGGACTCAGCTTCAGAGATAGCAATCATTTTTGGCTGTTGTCTGTGCCTCGATGCAAGCCAACTAAACATATCATGAACTTTTCTTCCTTTAAACGGTTCAGCGCGAGCAGCACCATTATCGCATGCCTTTGGTAAATCATTTTCTATTTCTCCTGGCTTAGGCGGTGCTAAATTATGAAATCGGGGTTTATATTTAGTGCATCTATTTACATTCGGTAACTGTTCAATCAGATACACCGTAGCATTATTATCCAAGCCTAAATTTTCAATGAGAGGATTATGAGGCAACGGAGGTAAATTATGAGCCTTTCGAGCATTTTGCACGGCTCGAAATACAGTTTCCCATACTTCAGCCATTGAGGAAGCGGTATGAGTGAATCCATCCTGTGATTTTATTTCGTACATCAATGTCGGTCCCTTTGAAGTGTTTCTCGGTGTTTGTAGATTTGGTAAAGTTGGCTTTATAGATTTAATAGACTTACTAATCATTCTTGGCTTTTTAACAGCAACTGGTGGAGTCTTGGTTTTTAACATGTTAAATTTGTTATCGATTGGTTTCATTTTTTCCTCAATTTTATTCGTTTTCAACGTGAATGTTTTTATCGGTAACAATTGCAAAGAAGCTATTTGTGGTACTTGTTTTGATGGCAATATTTCTACAGATGTTACTTGTGGAGATTTCTTATTTTGTGTCATTGCTTTCATGTTATGTGTAATTTTATAAGAGCCATCTTGCAATTGCTTTTGTAACACTATTTTTAACGAAGCGTTCTGTAATTTCTCTTTGTCCAGTTCCAACTTCAGATTTTCTTTTACTTTTTCGATCGCTTCCGTATTTAATTTCAAAGTTTCATTTATGTTGTTTATAGTCGTTTCCGGTTTCTTCATTGTAGGGGCTACTGCTTCAACAATTTGTTTCTTAGATTCTGTAATCTTTTGTTCTGGTTCTGCTGGTTTAATTACTGGTTTCGTTGGCTCTTCTATAATCATTTCTGTTTTTTGCATGGCCTTTGTCGTGTCCTGTTTCGGAGTTACGGCTTGCATAGGTAATACTCTATTCATCGGTCGACTTGTTGGTACATTACTTGTAGACATTGTAATTTTATTTTGTACAGCCGAGCTGGCAATCACTGGATTGTTACTTGTACTTATATTAATATTGTTTGAATTCGGTATAGTACTACTATAATTATTATGCACATTATTTACATCATGATTTAACTTATTTACAACTATATCCCTTTGAGTTATACAATGATTAGGTAAGGGGGGTATTTTAGATGATATGCTAGATTTTATCATACTGGTATTTTCTGATACATGTTTTGAGTCAAAATATGGTCGGACGTTAGTATTCATCTGTTCCGAACCAAATAATGGTTCTGTAATTTTCCATGGTCCATTATTAGGTTGCATAATAGAGTTGGAAACTGGACTTGGGCGTACAGCTACCCTTGGTATTGTTGGTATTGAGTTTTGCAACAACTTAGGAGGCGATGTTACTCTTACTACAGCATGAGGTTCAGATAAACATGTATCTGGTAGCTGTATTGATGTCACTGGTTCTACAACATTTTGACATGATACAGGCAATATGGCATTACAGGTAGTTGAGGCAAAGGTTTGTTCAGATGTTGCAGAAATATTAATTTGTGGCGTTACAGGTTCTGGTATAGATGTTGATTGATTTACAACGACATAACCACCGGGTACTGTAGGTATATCGGAAACATTTCCTACATTAGGTGGTAAGGTAGAAATATTAGATATATTTTGAACAGTAGGTATCGCCGATATATTAGTTATATTAGAAGTACTAGGCAATGTAGGTGCATTGGATATATTAGACATATTAGATACACTGGATATATTAGATACACCAGGTACACTAGATGCGGTAGGTACGTTAGATATACCAGATGCATTAGGTACATTTGATACACTAGATACATTGGATACACCAGGTGCATTAGATATACTAGGTGCACTGGGTATGTTAGATACACCAGGTGCATTAGGTACATGTGGTACACCAGGTATACTAGGTGTATTAGATGCATTGGGTATACTAGGTACGCTAGGCACATTAGATACACTGGGTATTGTGGGCACATTAGATATATTTGATATATTTGTTATGCTTGATATATTGGATACGTTAGATACATTGGATGCAGAGGGTACAGCAGATATATTCGGAATAGCGGGTACAGCTGGAACATTAGGTACATTGGTTACACTAGGTACATTAGGTATGCTAGCTATGTTGGTTACATTGGGTACATTGGATACATTAGCAACGTTTGGTACACTTGGCACTCCAGGTACTCCAGGTACTCCAGGTACATTTTGTACAGATTGCACTGCTGTTACAGTGGGAACACCTGGAACAGCCTGAACATCTACAATAGGTTCCATAAGTTTAGAAGCTTGAAAAACTTGCGTTGTTGTTTGATAACTGCTTGCTAACACTTGTGGTACTGTGCCAGTCATAAACTGACTGGAAGACATTACTGTGTTGCTTACAATAGTTTCCAAACCATAATACATTGGTTGATTTGAAAGAAACATACTGCCTGTAGAATCTGTAAACATTTCTAGTGTTGGTGTTGAACTTAATAATAATTGTTCAGATGATATAACTCCACATTGAATTGCACTAGGTTGTTGCTGTATAATTGTTCCAAGAACTGTTGGTTGTGTTTGAGCAATTTGTACACCAGGCAATATTGATATACCTCCATTTTGTAATGCCAATAAGTTATCAGAAGATGCTTGTATGTATGCACCAGGAACTAAATGATTAGTTGTTATAAACTGTGGTTTAAATGCAGTTTCATGTTGACCTCCAATTGTTGTTACATATTGAAGATTTTGTCCAGATTGTTGTTGCAATGTCTCAACATATGCAGACATGATACCAGGAGATGCTTGTTGTAATATAACAGTTGGCCCACTTGGTCTTTGAGTTTGTTGCAGTTGTATAACTGGAGTATTATTTTGCATTGGTTGAAACCTAGCATGTCCATTATGTGGCTGTATAGTATTTTTCACAATCTGTGTTTTTATTCCTTTCGTTCGAGATTTTGGCGCTCTTGGAGATTTTGATTTAGCTAATTTTGTTATCTGAATATTTGCTTGTGATTCATTAGTTGCAGTTTGAACACCTGTAGAAGAAAATGTAGGTGATACTTGTGGACTTGGAACTGTTTGAGAACTTGCACCATCTGGAGAATTCATGGGTGTATTAATGATATTTTGTGATATACTAGAATCACTTGCAACAGATGGTGGATCTGTAATTTCTGTTATTTGAACAGTACTTTCTTGAGGTAATACTGAAGCATTTGGTAATGTAGTTGTTGTTCTCGTATACTGTGTTTGTACAATCATATCATTAGATGTTAATACTGTTTGATGAACAGTTTCCACAGTAGCATGTGTATGAATTTGTGGTGTAATAATTGCTTGTGCTATTGGTTCGATTTGAATAGCTGGATGAGGTGATGGTACAGAAGCTTCTAAAGGAGAAGTAGCTTGTATATCTGGATAATCAGATGAAAGAGTATGTCCTTCAGATGGAGATAATGTTATAAATTGTGGAGATACAGAGCTAATACTTGGAGAAAATCTAGAATCAGGTGATGCTAATTTATTATCCATAGTTTCAGAATCACTATCGCTTGTTATCATGATATCACAATTTGTCAAATGTCTATTATAACTATCTTGTGTTCTATATGTACAACGACATCGTTTACAAGTTACAGGACGATCTATATGATCAAATGGTGCATCACATTGAGAAGTAATAGTAGTTCTTTCACTTTCAACATGTTGTGGTGATATGCACTCATCATCACTAGAAATATCATCTGCTCCATCTAATTGTGGAATTTCTAAATTCAATTTTAAATTATTTTCTTTAAAATTAGTTTGTTGTATTGCATATTTTTGACAATTAGAAAAGTCATCATTTTCTTTAGTCTTTTGTGACTTATCATTAGATTTTGTAATATGTGATCTAATAAATCCATATATTCGTTTTGATCTTAAAATATTATTTGAAGATTTCGTACAAGGATTAAATTCTTTTTCAGAAAACGAAGTAAATTCGCTACTGTCACACGAAGATTCATCGTTGATACCATCTAATTGCGGGATTGATAAATGTTCTGCCATACGTAATGCTGTAGTTTTTTCTTCAATATTATATTCTGGTGAACTGCATTCGCTAGCACTGCTTGGATCGGCAGGCCCATCAACTTGTAATATCCGCGGCTGTTGCCTCGCGTGCCAAAAAAGTCGTTTATGTTCTTTAGTTTCTTCACGACTAGTAGATATTACTCTACGATTAATACCATTAGCATCTTCAATACAATATTTTAATTCTCGCATAGAATCAGATAAAATGTTAGGTGTATTTGCTCTGCCCACAGTAACCATGATACTTTCTGGAATTCTTAATTCATGTAATGTAGGTGGCCGTTCATTTTGTGAATCTAATACCATTACGCTTGTTTCGTTCGATTTTGTGATACTTGAATTTCTAGATAATTTTCTTCTTTTTATGCTGGGACCATAAGTACCATCTAATTTACAACTCCAAGTTAAACTACAAGATCGTTGATGATGTCTTTGTCCTCCAACAATTAACGGACTATTTGACATTACTTCCGATTTAGATCGTTTTAATTCTCTACCTCCCCGTTTTTGATTTTTGGAACTAAATAAGTCATCCATTAAATCTTGAACAGAAGTTTTAGTTTCTAAATGAACCCATAAATCATTATGTGGTCCTAATTCTACTAAAGGGGGATCTATTTTAGAAACTTTACTTTCAGGTGGTTTTATAATTTCATCTACTTCAGATGCCAACATATCATCTTTAAATAAATCAGCTGCAAAAGTACCATCATTTTTTAAGTCCATTGCCAAAAAATCTTCATATGTCATTTTTGGAAATATATCTTGCATAGAAATACCATCTAATAAATCATGTGGCAAATCTTCAAATATAGCTTCCTTTAATTCTGGTGGTAAAAGATCTGTATTATTTTGTTCTGCTAGATTTTCATCAACTTCTTTATTACATACTGCATCAATTAAAGCATCTAAAGTTTGTTTAATAACTAAATATTCAGTTTTTTGTATATTTAATATATCTTCTTTTTCTTGTTCTTTAGAATGATCAATAGTTATATTGTTTTCTATATCGGAAGAAACTTCTGGTACATATACTTGTATATATGTTCTAATATAATATCTTACAATTTTAAAAGGATTTACTGTAGACCAATATAATCGAGAACATTTATAATCGCAAGGTATAATTTTTTCAACCGTATCGGAATATTCAGGTATAACAGTACCTAAACAATCAATCATCAATGAACCTATCATAACTTTTACTTTACTTGGTTCTGCATATTTTTTTTTCTTACGATCTAATTCCACGTATACTGGTCTTCGTAAACTAAATTCATTTTCATTTTGTAATGTTTTATCAGTGCAGTTATTTAAATGCAAAGAACAAAATACTGTTTTATCGTCATTGAAAGCAAGTCCAACATTTCTTGCACAAGGATAATGAAAGGTACTGTTACAATTTTTCGCGCAGCAACCAACACTGGCTCCTTTCTTTCCGCATTCTGAACAACGAATTAACCGACCTCTTGAAATAGCACTATGAACATTCTGTAAAGAACCATCAATTTCTTCAAATACTTCATTAGACCAAAGTGCACAATTTGAATGCAACCATTCATTTTGGCCGCAATATAATAACCGTCCTTCTTTTGTTTCTGGACCATCACCTAAACCTTTGCACAAACAACATGATCTACTATCTTCAACATGAACATTATATAAATTTGCTGTTTTGGCTGCAATTGCTTTTGGTGCTTTCATTACTTCTTCTTTCCATATTTCTAGTATAGAATCATCAAGTTTTGTAATTAAACTATCATCTTTATTAACATCCTTGGCAGCTGTTAATGCATCACTTTTTCCATTATTTTTAATATTTTTTGGACTAAACCATGGAAAAACTTCTCGTAAAATTTCATGATAAGCTTCAGTAAGTTCCTTGGTTTCAGTATAATTAATTACATGTTCCATATCACAATGAAATTGAGATAATGTTTTATATTCATTATTATTAACTTTTCGTTTTACCGACATCAATGTAGGCGAAGGTCTAACAATAATTTGTTGATCCAAGCAATTGCATTCTATATCATTTGAATTATTACTTGAATTTTCTTGAATTACCGAATCCTTTTTATCATTATCTTGAGTATCTTTTATAGCACAATTTTTTACTCGGACAGAACATTCTTTTAAATGAAATTTTTGTCGAAGGCGTCTCAAACCTCTTCTATTAGTGCAATCATTTTGTTGATCTTCATCCAATTTATTTATTGAATCAGATTTTGAATTATTATTATGTCCAAATTCTATATTTTTATTCTTTTCACTATTGCCTTCTTCAATTTCTTCTATATTGGGACTTTCTTTGATATTTGAATCTATTTTTTCATTTGAAAAATCCAATTTTTTCCCATTAGAAACAGATCTACATAAACATTCTTTCCTTGGACTCCATTTTAATGCAGCGCAAACTTTTTTATTCTTACTTAACGATTTTATAACTCCTATGAAACCAGCTTTAAGTTCAGCTTCTATGGCATTTCTCCAAACGGAATTAGGATTAGAGGAACATTGACTGCATGTAAATTCAATAGTATCAGGTAAATAACTAAGAATTTGATAACGTTCATCAGAAAGCCCTTCACATTGAGCATGTACCCAATAAGAACATTCACTACATTCCATCATCTGAAAAATAAAATATAGAATTAAGAAAAATTTAATTATTATTATAGTTATTATTCTGAAAAAAATTATATAATATATTTTTGTAAATTTGTATTTATCTGTACTCAGATATGAATTTTTACAGTAACACATGTAAACATATATTTATTAATTTGTAGAATAAAATATATACTTACCTTTGTATCAAAATCGTTTTCATTGTAACATCTTTGACATAAAGGACAGTAATTTCCTTGTTGACGTAATTTAAAACACATGGAGCATAATGGTAAATTGCCCACATGAACATTAACTCCTTCACTACCACAGCTCTTACACTTAACACAGCTTTGACACACATAAGGTCTTTCAGGACTATAAAGTCTCGCACTAACACCAGATTTTGACAAACACGAATGGTGAAATGATTGACGACAACGAATGCAAGACAATTTTGGACCAGATCTTAGATGGCAGGATTGGCATATTGTACATCGGGGACAGCACCAGTTTGGTTGAGCACAAGCATTCCATTCACTGGGTTCCAAACAAAAGGCATGATATGGCTCACAACAGCATTGACAGTGGATGAGCTGGAAAGATTTTTTAATGTACAATTATATATAATTCTATTCATATATACATTACTTACTGGTTCTTTTCCAGCACTTCCACAAAGGTAACAAATAGCAGGAATATGAAAGAGTTCTGAACCAATAAGGGCAAAACCTTTTGCTCCAACTTCTGTAGGATCATACTGTTCCCAAAAGTCTATAGATACTGTGTGTAATGTATCATTATTTGATTTAGATACCTGTAATGATTAATTTTTTTTGAAAACTACAAATATTAATATAATAAAATTTTAATTATTATATTTGCTTACTTGAAAATTTGATGTTGATATATTTTGTTGTGATTTTCCTCTCTTAGAATGAGGTTGTTGTGTTATACTAGCAGTATTATGATTTACAATATTTTCATCATTATGTTTTTGTGATTCTTTCTCTTTTGTTTCATCCTTTTTCTCTATCCTATCATTTTCCTTTAAAGTTTTCGGAATGTGCTTATTGCTTTCAGTACCTTCTTTTCCATCTATTGAAGGAAAAGTGGCAATTGGTTGACCAAGAGCAACACTTGCACTTCGACAAACATGTTTCACTCTTGGTCCCTTCAATTCAAGTCTCTGCCTTAAAGGTTGTGGACATTGATTTAAAGATGGTACAGAGAATATTGGATTTTTCAATTTCTTTCTTACTTTTATCCTATTGTTTTTTCTTCTTTTTTTATTAGGTGATATATTCAGTGATGAGTCAACTATAAATTTATGAATATTAGAAATTGTAATATGCATAAAATAAATTATAAGAATCATTATCTTACATTTGTCTAATTTTGTATATAGAAAACCGCCTGTGCCTTGAAAACTGGTTTTTTGACCTATTTCTATATTTCTCCAACTCATAGCTGATTTAAATAAGTTCTTTTCTGAACTATCTTCTGCAGGCCAACCTAACTTAGAAGATATTAATTTTTGTCCTTGATTATCATTATCTTCTTGATTTAGTGTTAATGGAATACTCAAAGGATCTCTCATCATTGGTGGTAACAATGTATTTAAACCTGTTCTTAGTGAAGAAGGAATATTATAACATTTTAAACACATTTTTAACCAACAAGCTGGGCATCTAGCTTTATAAACACATCTCATGAGATTCCATTGTTGACTTCTTACAACAGGTGGTACTAAGCATAAACCATCGCCTTTATGACATTGAAGGACTGGAAGGGCACTATTTGTAGATTTTGCACAAGCTTGCCGTTTAATCATTTTACTGATAAACTTTCTACATGATTCACAACTGTGAATACCAAATTTTCGAGCCTGTTTCACGAATCGATAAAATCGTACAGCACCACAAACGCCACATTTAATGGTGCCTGTTAAACCTAAGAAATTATACAAATAAAATAAATTTATTATTTTTTTTATTTCATATGATGATGATATAACTTTATTTATATCATAAAATAAACTTTTAAATCTGCATAGAAAAAAATATTATTTTAATTTTTATATATTAAAAATATTTAAATAAAAAGACTATAAAGATTATTATACATACCTAAGTTAGTATTTCCAGTTGTAATACTATTACTATTTGTTTTTGAAAAGGGACCTTCAGTTCCACTAACACATTTATTATCTAATTTTAATCTTGCTTTTCTTAAAATAACTTTTCCACCATTTAATTTCATTCCAGTCCATTCAGACTGTTCATCTTCTGTATGATTACTATGTTCACTTCCACTTTCAGATAATGTACTTTCTGTGTCAAAATTATCTGAATTTCCCTCTGTATTTTTATTCCCATTATCAACATTAGTTTGACTTTTTACATTGGTATTTTCTTTTATTTTTATTGTATCTTCAAAATTTGTCTGAACTTCTAAGTCAACTGTATCATTTTGAGTTCCTGATCTTGTTTGGATCCTGGAAGACTCTGAACTTGGAACATCAGAATCAGGAAGAACTTTTGTAGGAACAGAAATTGGTTTTTGGGCTTTAGAGATAGATAATTTTGCATTTTGAGCTTTTCTAGTTGCTGTATTTGCTGTTCCACTTTGATTATTACTGCATTCATCAGATGAAGATTTTACTATTTTATTTTTAGTCGATACATTTATTTTTTTAACATTTGTATTAATAGTTTTTGATACTTGTGCGTTTTGTATAGAAGGAGCTAATTTTTCAAGATTTTTTGCTGGTATAACAGTTTGGATATTGGAATTTACACGCTGAATAACTTTTTTGGTTTTACTTTTCACTTCTTTGTCTTTTAATTTTGTACAGAGTTTAGTAATATTTCCTTCTTTTAATTTTGGTTCCTGATTACAAAGTTTGTTTAATGTAAATTTAGCTTTCTTTACATGTGTACCAATTTCATTTTCACTATGCTCTGCTCCAGAAATTTCTTCTAATTCTTCAATAAATCTTTTATTTGGTTTAATAACTCTCGAAGAATGGGCACTTCGAACTGGCAAAATAAATTTTCTTACAGCATTTGGTTTATCTCCACATTGTGCTGTTATATTACGTACATTATTACTGTTAGATTTAGCCCTTTGCAATAATCTTTTTGCAGTACTGTTTCGTAGTTGTCTTGTTCGTTGATGCTGGTCTAAAATATTATTCACTGATTTTAATACTGGTGTTTTCATAAAATTGGAGAATTTTATATTTTTACAATTTCTGCGACTTTTAGGTCTATGAAATTTAGCACGTTTGGAATTTAATGGTGTCACGTCTTTTTTATCATCTTCTGCTGGTTTGATATTTTTATCACATAATTTTTCTGTATTATTTTCAGTATTCGATGGAGAATTTTTGACATCTGTAATATTTTGTTCATTCTGTTGTGGCATAGAATTATTAACAGCATCAGATGATAATTTAACAGTTGTATTTTCTGTGTCATGTTGTTGTGTTTTTATATAAGACACGGAAAGATTAGCCTCTTTAGTGCTAAAACCATGGAATGGTGGATGTTCCTAAGAAAAAATATATTAAACATTAAAAATAAATTATATTAATATTATTTTCTTTTTGTTTATTAATATCTTATATTTTATTTAAATTAATAAATTAAAATTGAATATTTATATTTTATATTTATATTTATTTTTACTATATATTTTTAAATATATTTATATTTCAATATGATCAAAAATATTTAATAATTTGAAGGCATTAAAAAGTTAAGTTAAAGTTTACATTTTATATGAAAGAAGAAAAAGAAATTAATAATATAGTTAAAATATGTCTACAGAATAAAAATAAGATCGAAATATAAATTTTTTATAAAATCATTGACATTTTCCACTATAGCGGTACATTATATACAGTATGTATTATATATATATCTGCCATTCTGAGTCTGTGATTCCCTTCTAATAGGTTAACTTTCATTATACAGCCAAATCTTGGACTTTTTCAGGCCACCGAATCGGCGCCGTATGCGTCCCTATGACGCTTATAAAATAAATACAATTGTTTGTAAGTCAGGAAAGAATTATATACTTTAACTAATTACGCGCCTTACTACAAGTAGTTCTAATGAAAGATAAACTACGAATTACCTTCTCGTTGTCACCAAATGTTTCGTTGAACAGGGAAAGTCCGTAGTAGATGTTCTCGGCGACGGTTACCGAATCACTTTGGGCTGTCTCGGGCTGACCGAGAACTTTGATCCGTTTCCTGGTAACCGTCTTCGGCGGCTTCCCGGGAAACTTGGACCTTCCCATGTTCACTTTTTTCAACGGCCAACCTCAACCTCACAACGAAATTCTGTTTCCATTTTACGCGATTTTGCCCAGTCGAGGCGCACCAACTGAACACCAACGAACACTTAACACACACGGAACTCACAAGCTTCGTTAAACATCGGTTAACGTCGGCTAAATTCGATGATAGCCGCGAAATACGCGCGTACTGTCAAACACAGAATCACTAGTAGTGTATATATAAGATGGGTACATGTGTTTTCAAATACAAATGCGCGTATTCATCTAGTGATTTTTACTTGAGCAAATCCAAGCGCGCTCAATCATTACATCAACATTAACTTTTATTTTAATTTGTATAATTATAATTCTATATAAAATTCATATATTACATAAGATATTTGTGTAAATTATAATTATTATTTTTTTATTTATAAATTATTGATATCTATAAAAAATAATAATTAATAATAATAATTAATAAATAATTAATAATTATTCATAAAATGATAAAAAATATAATGCATAAACTTTTTACTTACAAACAAAAAATTTTAATCTTATATTCAATAAATGATGATAGCGATGATGTGATTGGTTTTGTATTGCATATTAAATACTGTCCAGTTTTGTCCACCATAATACATTTTACACTAGGGAATATTAATTTTCATTTTGTATAATACTTATTAATATAATTTCCATTTCCATAAACATTTAATTATTTTAGAAATATTA